GACCTCAAGAAGTATAAGGATATTGTCACATGCATTAAACCATTCAAGCAAATGTAGTTTCTAGAGTAGATCACTTACCCATCCAAAGGAATAGGGGGAAAGCAACATGTCATCAAACACCAATTTGGCTTTAGAACTTTGCCACTCAGACTTAAAACAACAGCCCCTGGGCCACCTACCCATGCCAAGCAGAGTGATAGGAAATTATAAATGACCCAAGCTTCATATCTGGCAAGAGCAAATAATTCAAAACCAACAATATTTATGAAGTGAAAACATAAAAGATACAAGCAGGTATAACAAATAAAAGTAATTGACCACAACAAGACAGGGAGAACGGAATCAAGAAAATTAGCATAGACAAATGAACATCTGATATGAAAGTAACTGAAATTTAGACAGAGACAGAAATGTGTGGCATGGAGACAGCTTAGTAGCGTGCCTCCATGCACGTGGACGGAGGCACGTCGAGCCTCCGTCCGCTTGCACGGAGGCACGCTGCACATGGTGTGCCTCCGTGCACGTTGACGGAGGCACGTCGTGTCTCCGTCCGTGTGCACGGAGGCACGCACGCTGGTGCCCGTACACAGCGTGCCTCCGTGCACGCGGGCTGAGGCACGTCGTGCCTCCGTCCGCGTACACGGAGGCACGCACTCTGATACAAGACATGTTGAGGTGGGGGTCAAGGTTGCGGGTGAAACAAGATTTAGTTACAATAACGATGTGGTCAGTCAAGATGAACTTCACAATTTTGTGTCTGAAAACAAGAATTACTTTTGCTCTCAAGCTTCTGACCTAGGGATGGAGATGGCTGGAGATTCTCGAGCCTTACTACCGAAACTTATAATGTGGAGGAAGCTGGGCAGTTTGATGGTTCAGTGGAAATGTGGTGTCCTCTCTTCCCTAATACCTACTACGTAATTCAGTCTATGGAGCCTAAAGCTTGGACCATGGGATAGCATTAATCAGTAAGTTGGCCTAGTCTCTCGACTTTATTTGGTCTATCTGTACAAGTCTGCATCTTCACAGACACGTCTTAGTTCACCGAGACTCTCAGAGGCAGTGCTGAGATCGCAATATTTAGACATTGTTTCGAGTAACTGAGGCAACAGCTTTACCTCTCTAAGAGAGTATCTTCCTCAGCATTGGATATGATGTGAATTTACCTTTTTGAAAACGGTCTTGCGATGGCGAGAATCTTGCATAATCTCTGTATTCTGTAATATTTGTTCTCATATGCAAAGTTACATTTCATGTAGGGAATAATAAATATCATTCAGGCTGGAAGGTGGATGATTACAGAATAGTCGTGGTCTGGAAGAGTTGTGAACGGCGTTATAAGACACAGTCCAGCTATATGTTGAAAAAAGTACTGAGTTTCTGTGTATTAGAAAATTAAGATGAAACTACACACTTCACCAGAACCTGTTGAACGTGGCTACAGGTTGACTGGATTTTTTCGGTTGCATTTAAAAGGAAAAGGAAATCATTTTCGTTAAGGCGCAATCAAACATTTGTACATCTTAATCCCCTTACAGATTACTTTTTCACTTTGTTTTTATATTGATGAAAATTTAACTTCTGTTCGGCATCCTTTTATAGTATATATACACGTACAAAAGCAATTAGGTTGCATTTGATTAATCAAACATTTGTACATCTTAACCCCCTTACAGATTACTTTTTCACTTTGTTTTTATATTGATGAAAATTTAACTTTTGTTCGGCATCCTTTTATAGTATATATACACGTACAAAACCAATTAGGTTGCATTTGATTAAGAGCATAAAATTTACGTGCAAAGAAAATAAATTCTAAACAATTGCCTAAAAATTATTTGTATGACAATTATTAATTAAATGTTTTTGATTGATTTAGTTTTCAATCTAAAAAATATTATATATGTCCATTTTTTATTGGTGTTTAGAAGAAAAAGAGAAAGAAAGAGTAAATTACTTAAAAAATAAAAACTAAGTCTCTCTAAAGAAAATATTTTCCTCATTTTCAAGGAAAATATGATCACGTAATCAAAAGCAGAAAAATATTTTTCTTAAAGAAAATTGTCAATTAAACAGCATAAAAGTAGGAAATTGGGTAGAAAACACATTTCAATAAAAAAATATTGACAATTTTCTTTTAAACAGCATAAAAGTAGGAAATTGGGTAGAAAACACATTTCAATAAAAAATATTGACAATCAAACGCACCCTTAATTCTTTTCGATCTCCATTTAACAAAGAATCAACTCTTCGGTTCTTTGTCCTTCTCAGGTCGGTGTCCGGATCTAGAGTGAAAGAGTTAATACCCTAAATAGTTATCAAATTTTGCCAAAAGTTCTCAGGAGGTCACCGAATTTCAAAATTTTCTTAATTAGTCACTGAACTTTGCAAAAAGTTCATAGGAGGTCACCGAACTTCAAACCTACCCTAAATAGTTACTGAACTTTGCTAAAACTTCCTAGGAGGTCATCATACTTTGCAAATTGTGACCCCATACATCAATGATTTAGTGATCCCCTAGGAATTTTTTGTAAAGTTGAGTGACTAATTATGGTAGTTTTGAAAAAGTTGAGTGACTATTTAGAGTAGTTTCGAAGTCCCCATATTATTATGTTATTGCCAATAACATATTCAAATCGTAAAGCTTAATGCTAGGTGTAGATATCGTACTTCGTGTTAGGCATTCCAAATATGTTATATTCACTTGTGTTTAGGTAACTGGGTAACTTTTTGCTTGTCAAATTTGCATACCAGTACTTTTCATATTATTCTGTTGATCCAAGATAGGTCAATGACTACTGGCATCCAAGAGTATATTATACCATCTGCAGGCATATTGACTTGCACATCCCTCACCACATGTTTTTACCTGCAGGTTGTAGCCATGCAAAAAGATATGCAGAAGCAGGTGGCCATGATGGTTGCTGTCCGTGTTACCAAAGAAGGCAGAAGACTTGAAGCATCCTTGGGACGGATTATGGAGAAAGCTGTCAAGGCTAATGCGGATGCTTTGTGGGCTCATTTTCAGGAGGAGAATGCAAAACTGGAAAAGGCATCATGGGAGCGTACCCAGCAACTATCTAATATGATCAGCAATTGCTTAAACAAGGACTTGCCTGCTATTTTGGAGAAAGCTGTTAAGAAAGAATTAAATGCAGTCGGACAAGCTGTGGCACGCACAATTACTCCCTCTATTGAGAAAACAGTATCTGCCTCAATTTTGGAGACCTTCCAGGTTAACATTTGGATTTTCCTGTCCTTTTAAAATGTATCCAATATCTGGGTCTCATCTGAATTTTTGTGATCAGAGAGATAAAGAAATAATAGCATGTATGTGAAATAGAATGGTGCCCAAAATTAATTGGCAAAACAAAATTGAACAATACAATACAACTCTCACTGTGGAATCTTAATACGGTTTAGACGCCGGAGCAAGATGTGGTGGAGCTTAACAGAATCCCCAAAATGAGTAGAATAAGCAAGACTAAACAAAAATAGGTTTTGCAAAGGGAGTTTGAAGTTCAATTGTCACTTGCATCCAGTCAAAATCATGACCCGAAAACCGCCCAGATCAACGTCGCCAAGAAAATTAGTCTTGGGTGCTCACCGACTCAATTCCTTGCCGAATTTCTCTAATTATTGTTCAGAATCGTCACTGGTAAATATTATTCTTAATTATTCTTCTTAATTATTTGTAAATATTGTTCTCAAAGCAATGAAGAAACAAAAGACTGATAAAAGCCAAATAAAATATATCATTCCTTTAATATTTTAGACAGTAGAATTTTATAGCAAGTGTTAAAATCAGATATTTTTAAGCATTTTCTCAGTCCACAAGCTTGTCCTATGGTTTGATTAAACTTCTCAAGAACTCGGCCACAATTTCCTTCTACAAATTTAAATTCAAATTTGTATATCTACACTGCTTGAATTGTAAAGAAGTGTGTTAGAACTTAGAAGCCAGAAAACTGAAACATTTCAATTGGACATACTCACTCTAGGTTTCCTTAAATGGCCCAAGATGCCTTAACATTACAATGCTTTAAATATTCAAAATATTATTCTTACCAATTTTTGGCCGTCGAGTATCGGGGGGTCTTGCTGTTTGAAATTCATCTGAAATAGTGAAGCAACTTTAAATTGTTGGACCTTGATAGGCTGTAATGCAATGTAAAAGTGTATATAAGACAATAAAACTAAAACTTACCAAATAAGTACAAATCACCTTCGGTGTAATATTTAACAGCAATTATAGGTGCAGGCAATTTCTTCAACTCCTCTGCAGGTGGGACAAAGAACGACATATTACCACCATTAGCAACATGAAAATAAAGAGAAAGCTCTTTCTTTCTTCCATTTACTTTTTGTTAGAAGTGAATTAATATGGTTGAAATATAAGAGAATATGTTTAGAAGCTACTCACTAATGAATCATCGAGATTTCCTCTCTACTCCAGGTAAATTAATCAATTTAAATGGTGGAGCTAGGAAATATCAGA